AATTTGAATCTATTTCGGAATTTCTTTATGATAGCTTACCAACTTTTGCATATTTTGCTTCCATATGTCACATGCGGTACGTGCTTCCGGTTTCAGAAATGATAGCTAAAATTGCAAGTATTTTGATTATTTCTCATAAAATGCATTATTTTGCTATTGAATGGTTTACCTAGAATGTATATCAGTTCAGATTTTGCGTATCATCCAATATTTGTCATTTTTCGCAGTGTTTGTTGACTTCAACTTGTTCAACTCAACAAATCGCGAGTTAGGCCACGCCCAAACGTATCTCTAACGTTTGTTTGGTTGTCAATGTGTCGGAAAGTTTATCAAACGAAATCATTTGCAAACTCTTTAAAAATGAAATTCTTTTTACAAAGATTTATACATACGTGTCAATAATTCTAGAAAATTAAGTTAGATGTAACAAAATGATTGTAATAGTCTAACGGGATAACTATGCATGTGGAGTTGTTTGTCTACCGCCGTTGCCATGATCGTACAAGTTCCATCCAATCGATGATGTTACGATTCAGATTGTTTTTGTTTACAATTAGTTACACCGAAAGTTGCTATTTTTTAGAAATAAAGGAACATGAGTGTTTTCCTTTCGTCAGCAAACAAAAAATTATGATCGAATAGGAAAAATGATGAAATTATAAAGAAAATATCGGACTGCATGCCGCTCAACGTGAAGTGCCAAAAGTCAACAATGGCCGTTTCTGGTAGTTGTGTGCCGAGAAGTTTGGCCGAAACATTTTTAACTCGCGATATTTTCTTTTTAAGGTAAATAAATGACTGAACGTTTTGATATTGAGCAAGCTGAGCATTTATGCATGTCATACGTAATTCAAATGTTACGCAAAGCCTTCTTGGTAAATAGATATGGCGAGTTTTATTTTGGGGTGTTGTTATGCTATTCGCCTGTCGAATGGGTTCGACATCAGATGCACGGGGATGGACACCTCTGTCGAATGGGTTCGACGTTAGCGAGCAGAGCTTTAAGGTCTGCTTTGGCAAAACTTGTAGTAAAACCACTACACCACCACAACCACACCACCACCACCACCATCACCATGTAGATGTAGATGTAGTAACTTTGGCTTAGCTGTAGAAACTGGTAAATACACACATATTGAATATGCACAGTGACTTTGACAATTGTGTAAACATAATCATAGTCAGTTATATATTGAAGATGAATTTCATGGTATGTTTACTTGCAGAAGGAATTAAGAGACTAGCAACCATCTGCCACATGTAAATGATAATTATCAACCTACCTATCATCTTGTAAATCTATTGACATCTACAAAGAATGAAGTATTGTATAATGTTAGCCTGTATCTTTATAACGTACATCAATGAAGAAAAGTTGAACCTGTCACATAACTTGAACAACTGTGTTCTTAAGTATCCACAAAATGTAAACAAAAATAAGCATGCGACCCCAAATTATACGAAATGACTGTATGATGGGCCTCTGGCCTTTATACTGAATAAATCTGTCTGTCAGTCTGTCTGATTCTGAAGGTCTACATATAAAGGTATGGCGCTACTATATTAATTCATGTTCCTGATCATTGACATCACATCATCGATTATCCTCGAGCGGCGGCAACAAATCAGTGTCTAATCAATCTAACCAGCCCCATCAATACCTCCCGGACTGATGTTGAACAAACCACCAAGAAAAAATGCTCCCAACCAAATTAGAACTTTAAAAAACCAGCCTGGCATCTGTTTACAAAACTCTACAATAACATAGATATAACAATCATCCAAAACACAAACAACGACACATTCAACACAATACATGAAATAGCCAACAAATGCATACCAAAATCAGAAGCACGTTCTACATCCTTAGTTGGAGGCTTTATTCGATTCATTTCTCGAAACGTCATATTTTCCAAAAGATTTTGGTTTAATTATTCCTATACACCACGCCATCACAAATTATGTGAATAATTACACAGGCATAACTACCTTTTAGCTTGAGGAAAACATGGAAAATCCCCAAAACATTTGATTGAGTATGCATGTAAATTATATCTTTTATTTCGTTCCCACTGGGTGAATAACAAAATGGAAAAAAATTATGTAATGTCTATCAAGATTAAAATCTTGTGTTAGGAATAATGGTATATACTCAGTGATTTCTCTTTGCAATTCTGGCGTGCGACAAGGCTGTGTTCTGAACGTTATTGTTTTCAGGTCACGGATAGCTGGCGATATATCTTCTCTTTATATTGGTAAATCAAGCATATCTGCGGCAAGAGTGCACTCATCTTCTGTTTAAATCAACTCAAAACTTTCTCTTGATTCAGTACAACTGAAAACATTTTTTTCAAATATTGAAACTATCTATATCAGTTACATTTCTGTATTTATTCATGTTTTTCAAAACTTCTTGGTGAATAGTATTTTCTTAAATTCCTTTATTTTTTCAAGAAATAGTTGCTTTTTTACTACACATTGATTTGTCTTTATTTATGGTTGTAATACAGCATGCTAGCGAGTTTGTATCTTTCTATCGCCTGAAGTTATGTTGACCTGCACACCGAGCTATTTTTAACAACTCACTTTTCAAGTCAAAGCAGTACTTGTTTTCTTTACCTGGTGTAATTTTCCTCAAATTTCGTCATTTGCATTGTTCAAACATCACTAAAGTACTCATGGAAATGAAAAAAAACTGTTTTTCGCAATTTAAAAATCGACACAAAGTGTTACGTAGCTGTAAATACGAAATAACAAAACAACTCGAAAAGTACTAGTCTGGATTTGCTAGTTTGGTCTCAGTGAACAATACAAAATGTACTTTACAGGAGGTAATTTGTCGGCACTTTCAACATTCAAAAATAAAACCAAGTCCAAATTGACATAGCAGAAACAGACTCTTGGCATTATGCACCTGTTCTCACCTGTCGTCAAGGTGTCATAGGTCACCTTGATCTACTTACACCTGGTTATGCCCTGTTTCACAATAGTCTGTTTTACTCACATTTTTACACACTTTTACGTGTAAAAAGGCATAAAAACATTTGATACGCTGTATTTGTGCCACGGCCCAATTAGTACTAATTTAGTTGTTTGAATATTTACATATTTTGTATATTAACTGCATTAATATAAGATCTGAGGTCGAAAAAACAGTTTTTTTCAATTTCCGTGAGTACTTTAGTACTAATCACATAATCAATTACTCTTGCTCATGTACTACTGATCAAAGTAAAATCCCCTGTACACTCCCATTCATAACATGAAGATTTTAACATGAGGTGAAGTGAAATGGAGTTTAACGTCGCGTCCAAGATTAATGCACTTATAAAGCGACGCGCATGCATGAACGTGTGTGTGTGTGTGTGTGTGTGTGTGTGTGTGTGTGGGTGGACGAAATACAAGACTGTTAAGTCGACGTAAAAGCTATAATTGATGATGATAATATATGAATGTTATTGTAACAAGCGCAGCGTGTGGAGATTAAAATACGTTGGACACAGTAACATGTTTCAACACCTTTTGAAACGGTAAAATTAGATACATTTAAACGTTAGTAGCATAAAAACACTTGACATTGAAAGGTCTACAAAAAGATATATTTCTTATACTAGAAGGTCCACAAGGGTATTCAGAATGTGTGTGTGTGTGTGTGTGTGTGTGTGTGTGTGTGTGTGTGTGTGTGTCCATGTAAACATGAACTTTCATTGATCAAACCAAAGTTGTCAACCGTAACAAATGCAGAATAACACAGTAAATCAAACTTGACCAGAAGGAAATCCAGAAATCCATTGCATGACCCTCAAGGTACTCGAAAATAACATCTACACAATTACATTTCTACCTGTCCTGGCAATTAAATCACCGCCTAATACACAGATTGCATCGCCAATATCATCTAGAGTGTCCAGTGACATCATCTCGGCAGCTTTTACTGTTGTTCTTTGAACAGGTAAATATACACAACAACAACAAAATTTGCAAGATCCGTACATTTTGCAAGTGGGTGTTGGTGAAAATAATCATGTAAATGATTAAGAGTCGAATTGTCCGAATCCTGCCAAACTCTGATAATCCAGAAAATATACCAAATATTAATCACTTATTTTATTTTATTTTATTTTTATTTTACTTAATTTATTTAACATATCTTATAATTCAAAATAAATTTTAAAAGTTCTTACTAAAATTTCGACAGTAGCTCAATAATTTGAATCAACATTTACTGTCATTTATGACATAAAAATTACCCACGTTACTTTGGAAAGCAATTATTATAATATTCAAAAAAATATAATTTAAAAACTGAACAAAATGTTCCAGCATGCTCTGGTTTTCACCCTGCGCCATCGTAATGAGGGCATAGTTAACTAAGTCCAACCAACCAACGTGTATCCTGTTTACTGTCAACGGTCTTCCCGGTCAAGATTCGATTAGTCTGTCTTCATATAGCTGGAATATTTGCGACGTGAAATTCAATCACTCGCTCGCCCACCCACTCACTCAACCCACTCATTCACTCTTCTTAATATTTACGGGGCGGTACAATGTGTGAAGCCCATTTCTGGTGTCCCCCGCCGTGATATTGCTGGAATATTGCTAAAAGCGGCGTAAAACCTCACTCACTCACTCACTCTTAATATTTACATTGATACTTTTTTCTGAAATGCCCATATACAGCGACATACTTTGAAAACGCAATCTTGTTCTATGAAATATATCGGCTTCATCAAATATGTGTTTGAATTTAAGCAAATCATTATGATAATTTATTTTTTTTAAATGTACACAACAGAAAGTTGTTTGTCGTCACACCCAAAGAGTTATTGAATGAGCGAATGGGTGTTAATATATTACATCAGTCGGTGTCAGATGAATCCTGCTTCTCTTCAAATCAACCACCATGGTAATGTGATAGTCGAGACCTTGTGAACTCAAATAACAACCTTCCTGGGTATATTTAAAAAAACGTGTTGCACGAGACTTGTACATCTACCTACCTGGGTGTTATCTTGTGGGGGTACGCCTGGGATTTGTCCATAACCAGTTCAGTGATATGAGGATCTTGAAACAAGGCCCTCCACAAAACTGTCCCAATTGTTGAAACGCCTTTGTCGCTATGTCTCTGTCTCGAGATCTGCTCGCTCTACTAGTGTTACAACGTCCGGGTGCATGGCCGGAGACGTCACGTGATGATTTGCTGCAGACGACAGTGTGACAAAACATGTTTGTGTAGTTCTAAACCGTACGACAGGCGAGTCAGTTTCAGACTCGGTGTAGTCACTACATAGAAATAAATACTTCTTATAAGGACAAATCAATCATCATTAATTCACCACCAAGCAGCCACTACACCACTACACCATCACAACCACACCACCACCACTACACCATCACAACCACTCCAATACCACTACATCACAACCACACCACCACCACTACACCATCACAACCACGCCAATGCCACCACCACTACACCATCACAACCACACCACCACCACTAACCACCACAACCACACCACCACCGCTACACCATCACAACACCAACATCACAACCACACCACTACTACTACACAATCACAACCACATCACCACCACTACACCATCACAACCACACCACCACCACTACACCACCACAACCACACAACCACCACTACACCATCACAACCACACCACCACCACTACACCATCACAACACCACCATCACAACCACACCACCGCCACTACACCACCACAACACCACCATCACAACCACACCACCACCACCACCAATACACCATCACAACCACACCACCACCACTACATCATCACAACACCACCATCACAACCACACCACCACCACCACCACTACACCACCACAACCACACCACCATCACAACCACACCACCACCACTACACCATCACAACACCACTATCACAACCACACCACCACCACTACACCACCACAACCACACCACCACCACTATACCATCACAACCACGTCACAATCATCACCACACCATCATCACAACCACACCACGACCACCATCACAACCACACCACCACCACCACCACCACTACACCACCACAACCACACCACCACCATCACCACTACACCATCACAACCACACCACCACCATCACCACTACACCATCACAACCACACCACCACCACCACTACACCACAACCATACCACCACCATCACCACTACACCACCACACAACAACCACTACACCATCATAACCACACCACCACCATCACCACCACACCATCACAACCACACCACAACCACCATCACAACCACACCACCACCAACACCACTACACCATCACAACCACACCACCACCACTACACCACTACAACCACACCACCACCATCACCACTACACCATCAAAACCACACCACCACCATCACCACTACACCATCACAACCACACCACCACCACCACTACGCCACAACCATACCACCACCATCACCACTACACCATCACAACCACACCACCACCACCACTACACCACAACCACACCACCACCATCACAACCACACCACCATCACCACTACACCATCACAACCATACCACCACCATCACCACACCACCATCACAACCATACCACCACCACAACCACAACCACACCACCACCACAACCACAACCACACCACCACCACCACTACACCAAAACCATACCACCACTACACCACCACAACCACACCACCACCATCACCACCACAACCACAACCACACCACCATCACAACCACAACCACACCACCACCACCACTACACCATCACAACCACACCACCACCATCACCACTACACCATCACAACCATACCACCACCATCACCACTACACCACCACAACCACACCACCACCACTACACCACAACCATACTACCACCATCACCACACCACCATCACCACACCACCAACACCACTACACCACCACTACACCAAAACCATACCACCACTACACCACCACAACCACACCACCACCATCACCACCACAACCACACCACCACCACAACCACAACCACACCACCATCACAACCACAACCACACCACCACCACCACCACTACACCATCACAACCACACCACCACCATCACCACTACACCATCACAACCATACCACCACCATCACCACTACACCACCACAACCACACCACCACCACTACACCACAACCATACTACCACCATCACCACACCACCATCACGACCACACCACAACCACCATCACCACCACACCAACAACACCACTACACCATCACAACCACACCACCAACACCACTACACCATCACAACCACACCACCACCACCACTACACCATCACAACCACACCACCGCCACACCACCACCACCACTACACCATCACAACCACACCACCACCACACCACACCACCACCACACCCTCACCACCACTACACCATCACAACCACACCACAACCACCATCACAACCACACCACCACCAACACCACTACACCATCACAACCACACCACCACCACTACACCACTACAACCACACCACCACCATCACCACTACACCATCAAAACCACACCACCACCATCACCACTACACCATCACAACCACACCACCACCACCACTACGCCACAACCATACCACCACCATCACCACTACACCATCACAACCACACCACCACCACCACTACACCACAACCACACCACCACCATCACAACCACACCACCATCACCACTACACCATCACAACCATACCACCACCATCACCACACCACCATCACAACCATACCACCACCACAACCACAACCACACCACCACCACAACCACAACCACACCACCACCACCACTACACCAAAACCATACCACCACTACACCACCACAACCACACCACCACCATCACCACCACAACCACAACCACACCACCATCACAACCACAACCACACCACCACCACCACTACACCATCACAACCACACCACCACCATCACCACTACACCATCACAACCATACCACCACCATCACCACTACACCACCACAACCACACCACCACCACTACACCACAACCATACTACCACCATCACCACACCACCATCACCACACCACCAACACCACTACACCACCACTACACCAAAACCATACCACCACTACACCACCACAACCACACCACCACCATCACCACCACAACCACACCACCACCACAACCACAACCACACCACCATCACAACCACAACCACACCACCACCACCACCACTACACCATCACAACCACACCACCACCATCACCACTACACCATCACAACCATACCACCACCATCACCACTACACCACCACAACCACACCACCACCACTACACCACAACCATACTACCACCATCACCACACCACCATCACGACCACACCACAACCACCATCACCACCACACCAACAACACCACTACACCATCACAACCACACCACCAACACCACTACACCATCACAACCACACCACCACCACCACTACACCATCACAACCACACCACCGCCACACCACCACCACCACTACACCATCACAACCACACCACCACCACACCACACCACCACCACACCCTCACCACCACTACACCATCACAACCACACCACAACCACCATCACAACCACACCACCACCAACACCACTACACCATCACAACCACACCACCACCACTACACCACTACAACCACACCACCACCATCACCACTACACCATCAAAACCACACCACCACCATCACCACTACACCATCACAACCACACCACCACCACCACTACGCCACAACCATACCACCACCATCACCACTACACCATCACAACCACACCACCACCACCACTACACCACAACCACACCACCACCATCACAACCACACCACCATCACCACTACACCATCACACCCATACCACCACCATCACCACACCACCATCACAACCATACCACCACCACAACCACAACCACACCACCACCACAACCACAACCACACCACCACCACCACTACACCAAAACCATACCACCACTACACCATCACAACCACACCACCACCATCACCACTACACCATCACAACCATACCACCACCATCACCACTACACCACCACAACCACACCACCACCACTACACCACAACCATACTACCACCATCACCACACCACCATCACCACACCACCAACACCACTACACCACCACTACACCAAAACCATACCACCACTACACCACCACAACCACACCACCACCATCACCACCACAACCACACCACCACCACAACCACAACCACACCACCATCACAACCACAACCACACCACCACCACCACCACTACACCATCACAACCACACCACCACCATCACCACTACACCATCACAACCATACCACCACCATCACCACTACACCACCACAACCACACCACCACCACTACACCACAACCATACTACCACCATCACCACACCACCATCACGACCACACCACAACCACCATCACCACCACACCAACAACACCACTACACCATCACAACCACACCACCAACACCACTACACCATCACAACCACACCACCACCACCATCACAACCACACCACCGCCACACCACCACCACCACTACACCATCACAACCACACCACCACAACACCACACCACCACCACACCCTCACCACCACTACACCATCACAACCACACCACCACCACTACACCACCACACCACCACCATCACCACTACACCATCACAACCACACCACCACCATCACCACTACACCATCACAACCACACCACAACCACCACTACACCACAACCATACCACCACCATCACAACTACACCACCACAACCACACCACCACCACTACACCACCACAACCACACCACTACACCACCACACCACCACCATCACAACTACACCATCACAACCACACCACCACAATCACCACTACACCATCACAACCACGCCGCCACCACTACACCACCACAACCACACCACTACACCATCACCACTACAGAATCACAACCACACCACCACCATCACCACTACACCACCACAACCACACCACCACCACTACACCACAACCATACCACCACCATCACCACTACACCATCACAACCACACCACCACCATCACCACTACACCACCACAACTACACAACCACCACTACTCCACAACCATACCACCACCATCACCACTACACCATCACAACCACGCCGCCACCACTACACCACCACAACCACACCACTACACCATCACCACTACAGAATCACAAC